CTGAGCTCTCTCTTCGTGAGACGACCAGAAGGTAGTAAAAGCGAGTTGGCAGGCTTCTTCACTGTTGATTGAACCCTTCTCTCTCTCTCTTCGTGAGACGACCAGAAGGTAGTAAAAGCGTCAACCGAAGAAATTTCACTGCTCAATTGAACCCTTCTGAGGCCCCGGACAGACTTCACGCGATTTGATCATCGCGATTCAGTCGCCGAGATTTCCATTCATTTTCACTTCACATTCAAAAATTTCGGGCTGGAAAAGTATTACAACCGAAATGCAAGTTGATCGGCATGGAATGATGTTGTAACAGTTGTCTCGTCGCGATTTAGTCGCGAAGATCAAATCGCGTGAAGTCTGTCCGGGGCCTAAGACGACTAGAAGGTAGTAAACCCAGCTGAATACTTCTCCACTAATTAATTGAACCCTTCTGAGCTCTCTTCTTGAGACGACCAGAAGGTAGTAAAAGCGTTAGTTGGCAGAAAATCACTGATTAATTGAACCCTTCTGTGCTCTCTTTACGTAAGACGACCAGAAGGTAGTAAAGCGTCGGCTGAGGAAACCACTGGTTAATTGAACCTTTCTCAGCTCTCTTTTCGTAAGACGACCAGAAAGTAGTAAAAGCTCCAGCTGAAGACCTTACCACTGAAATTGAACTCTTCTGTAATCTCTTCTAGTAAGACGACCAGGGGTTAGTAAAAAAAACAGTTGGTACCTTTAATAGTTCACTTAAAAACTATTAAACTACAAGGTCTCCTCAAGCTCGCACTGGGCAGGATCCAAACCTAACCAGTCAGCACAGCGTTCAAGCCAACGGCACGCTTGCTAAGTAACTAGAAGAAGCTACGCACTCCACTGCTAAGCTCACTAGTGACTAGTTTTCTTGCACCCAGCAAGGAAAAATCCCACAGAGGTTCAGGCCCAGCCAACCTCCACAGTTCTCGACAGCTGCGAGTACTAAGCACCCAGCCAGAACTCTACTACAAACAAACACCTGCAGTGCCAAAGCACGCAGACGAGAGCGCAAACGATATAAGTCCATGCGCACAAGGCAGACGATGGCTGAGCAACTCTATACAGAGTGTCCCAAAAAGATGTGCACAATGTTTGATCGTTAATAACTCTCTTGCTTTCATGTCTTTTGCCAAGCTTAACGTACTATTCTGTAGAGCGAGCTTCAACTTAGATTTACAGTATGGAGCGAGTCACCAATCACTCTTCATTACTGTAGGATTACGGTATGAATTCTCAGCTTACAGCGTCATTGTCGAATAGGCCTTTTGATGAAATATTTTCAAAAAAATCTGAAAATTTGTGTGGCAAGGTTTTTAGGCACGCTGATTTCACTGCATAACTTTTTATTAAATTTCCAAGCTTTCTTGACGGCGTATTCACATTTCTGGCGAACATTGAAAGAACAGTTGCTACCCTAAATCTGAAATAAGTTATGAAAAAAGCACTTTACTGAGGCGCAAATTTCATATTCACAATCAAAGCCTTCGATTAGCCCAGTTCAAAAGTTTCTGGCTTGCTGTTTGCCTTGCTTCTGAGGCAAAATACCGGTTTCAATGACTTAAAATCGTCCTCGAAGTTCCCACCGTAATCCTACAGTAATGATGGGCGATTGGTGATTTGCTCCTACCGTAAATCTAAGTTGAACCTTGCTCTACAGAATGGTAACTCAAGCTCGGCAAAAGACATGCAAACAAAAGAGTTATTAATAATCAAACAGTGTGCACATCTTTTTGGGACACCCTGTATAAAGCTCGCATTTCTATGGCTTGCTCATCAATCAGCGGTCTTGAGGACAAGATCCGCAATATGATAAAGCTTTTGAGTTTCCCAACACCGCAACCGAATGCAACGCCTTTATAGCGGACAAAATAGCAGAGATTGATGAACTGCAAATTAACAGGTTTACTGGAAAACCTGGAGGCGCAAGTGCAAACTGCCATGAATTTTCTTGGCGCAAAAAAGGACCAGTCAGACAAGGACAGATTGATGAACGGTTTGGCTACATTCTTGAGCACAGAAGCAAACGGTCTACAGCTTGAAGGTGTTCACTGGACAAACAGGCTGAAATACCGAATAAGGGAACTGGAGAAGCAATCGAATCTGATTCAAGCCCACACCCTAGCGACGTCATCACGTTCTAGTTCAGTGAGAGACCCAGACACTGAGAGTTACGCATCGACAAGGCAGTCTTCTGAGAACAAAGTACGACTACCGCAGCCCGAAGTTCCCGCGTTTGATGGCAGCTGTAAGGAGTATCCAACTTTTTGGACAATATTCAACTCGCTGATCCATAGCAACCCGCAGCTCAGCAAGTGAACTAGTTCCTTTCTTGAGGCAGGCATTAAAAGGAACAGCAGCTTCACTTCTCGGCTATATGCCAGTCATCGGAGAGAACTACGACAAAGCTATATTACTTCTCGATAAGCGCTTTAACTAGTCTGGATGCATAGCAGATCTGCTTATCACAGAGCTCGAAAGGCTTCCACGAGCAGAAGAAGACGCCCGAAGTTGCAGACAAACACTTATTAGTGTGACCGAAAAGCTCACTCACATCGAATGTGCAGGAGTTTTTGGACAATAACCGAATGTGGAGGCGACTAATTTTCAAAGTTTCCAAACTCGCTGAACGAGAAAGTACTTTGCAAAGAGCAGAATGATGAAAGATCATTTACAACAGAGGACACCTTAGACATTCTGGAAAATGCTGTCGCTTTGAAGGAAACCCTCACGCTTACTACTGCATTCGAGGAGTGCAATATCACGGCACGCTCTGGTTCCGATCAAGAAGTTGATGAGAGGCTGAACTACGAAGAAGACTCAATCGCATACGATTTGAAACATGGCCAAGGAAGTACATCTTCGAGAGATTCGAGCGCTTAATGCATCTGCGGAACAACATGATGCGACGAGATGCACAACATTCCAAACAGCAGCAGAGCGACGTGACGAAGCCAGGAAACAAAGGCTGTGCTTCAGATGTCTTCAAACCGATCACAGGATTAGTGTTTACACAAGCTCACAGTCATGCTACAAGTGTCACGGAAACCATCACACTGCCGTATGCATGGGTACCTGTTTAGCATCTAAAGGCACCCCAACCAGGCGATCACAGCAACGATCTGCTCGCGATCAACATCTCCCGAGAGACCCTGAATTTGCGCAAAATTCTGAAATTCTCCACAACAAGAGCACGAAGCGAGAACGAGGAATGCAGCACGCACTGATGACGGCGACTGCATTCGCATACGACACATATCGACCAGCTATAAGCCCGTGACTGTCTTCTTTGATGGAGGTGCACAAAAAAGCTTCGTCAATACAAGAAAAACTCAAGCTCTTGGCTTACCAGTGCTGCAAAACACCACTTTCAAGATTGGCGGCTTCGGAGGATCTACCGCAAATTTCACATCCAGTGAAGTCCCGCTTACTCTGAGAACAACGTCTGCTGGAGTCGCTGTCAAAGCTGTGAAGATACATACAAAGTCAACACTCACTTCCGCGATGAGCACAGCTTGGCTAAGCGCAGAGGATAGAAGGCTGATTCGAAAAAGAAAGATTCGAGTAGCACAACCGGATCTGAAGACGCGACAGATCACACCGGACATTCTCATTGGGCAAGACCTAATTGATCAATTCATCTTGAGGGATCGAACTGTACAATTCTTCTGGGCTTATTCTCACCCCTACTGTTTTCGGCCATGCAATCTCCGGGAGCAGTCGGATGTACGGAGTCAAAAGGGAGGAGTATTTGCAGAACACTGCAACCACCATCTTCTCCTACAATCATCTAGTGAGCGATGGAAACTCAGCAAAGCAGAAACCAGCTAAAAACGTCGAACAAACTAGGCGCGCAACTTCCAAACGCCGCGTAAAGAAGCTCGATTGTTTGATGCCAACAAAGACGCTCGCACAACCTATACAGTTACCAATGGAAAGCAGAAGCGGTCAACGTAACAGTGCTTTTGATGGACTGCAGCTCAGTCGCAGACGTCGGAAGTCAAGGACACATGGACAACCTCTGAAGAAGATTACTGATGCTCAGCTGGAATGTTTCGCTTCAGCGTCGCGCCTGGCCGCGACGGCCGACTATGGCACGATGGTCGACCACCATACAATTCTCAGACGAGGAACCAAGCCTGTTGTAGAAACCATGTGATATACGTAACTTAGTTAATATTGTGATAAGATTCTGAATTTGTGTAACGCTTCATTCCACTAATTTGTATTCTCTTGCTTTCGCGCCTTCCGTCGCACGCCCCACTGAAGCAGATTATTCAAATAATCTACTACCTTCAACAATGTAGATCTATCTGTATGCTATATTATTCGATAGCTTGTCGTTGACAAACGCTACTGTTCACTGACCACTTAAGCCGCTAGGTCACCCCTCCACTGTGCTTGATAGTCTACTTGGCGGCGCCTACTTTCATGTGGGCAATCTTTGATTCTGTATGATACTACTGTTTACCAGAAGTGAGCATTCAGGTTATCCACGCCCAAAATACTGGCATTAAAGGGCCTGAATACTCAGTTCTGGTGTTGCTTCGATTATTACCACTATCGTCAGCGGCTGTTCCGCATATTCACTGTTGATAGTCAGCGGCTGCTCCGCTACTATCGAATAAACAGTTATACAGCGTAGTGGTACCAGCTTGGTGTATACCAAAGCAGGCGTATATCTCAGCCGTTAGTGAGTCATCTGGCTTAGTTAGGGCCCCAAAATTACTTTCCACGTAAAATCCCATAGATTCAGATTTGCCTGGACGCTGCCTGTAGCATCTGCTCAGGATGAAGATTGAGCAAGGATAGCTGACCCCTGACAGCGACTCCCGTCCACCGGCATAAGTCGACTCCCACTTCTTTTTGTGTACTTTGGTGATTATTATGGTGTGTGATTTAGAAACTTCTTTACATATTAGGTAAGGCAGACAGGTTCATGACTCTTGTGCTCTTGTGTGCCTACTCACATTCGTTTGTGCGCATTTCACTATTGAAATTAGCTTTTATAAGCACACAGTCGCTATATGCAATCTATCAGTTTAAAACAGTTATTATGAGTCATTTAGTGGAAAATTCCTTGCTGAGTGGTACATACAAGTCATCATCAGTGCTGGAGGATTTGTAAAACAAGGTAAAAGGCTATAGTATGTACAATCGTCTCCCAAAAACATCTCATCATAAAGGTGCAAACGTAATGAAGTGAAAGACATGCAAGTAAAACAACGTCACTCAAGTAGAAAACGAGGCAGAAGAGATGTGGATAGTTGAGATTTCGCAGATATTGCCGTCATAAAAGGGCAGAATTATGCAAGAATTGGAAGATGGAAATCAACCTGATGAGCAAAGTACAGGGCATGACGGATATAACTAGAAGATCTGATATGGATTCAAACTCGTACTCTACTTCAGCCGTAGTTGAGTAAGTTGATAAAACAGCAGATAAGCTTCTGTCATTACCACATCGCCGTAATGCACCTCTTTAATCTGTAAGGAAATGAACACAAATATGGGTTTCCTTTGCAATTGATATTTCGACATGAAGAAAGCAAGAACAGGAAAATGTAAAACTTACCTGATGATCATCACATCTGTACCACTTATTCTGATTTCTTCGAACATAACTAATATAGTGTCCCGCGCCCGACGAATCTCCAATGTGGGTTACAATAGCGAAGAGTGAGTATCTGAGCATACAACATTTGAGTATCTGAGCATACAACATTCGGCAAAAGACCTTCGATCACTCTCACGAGACTTACGAATGGTTTTTATGACTTAGCATTCCAGCTGAGGTTCGGGGATCAAATAAGGAAGGATTGTCGAGGAACGCGGACGTAAACGGTGACATATCCGATTCAAGTTCGAACCTAATTGACTCTTAATTTAAGGTTGTACATTGTAACAAACAATGCGGACTTACCAAACTATAGTGCTGTTCTTTCCGGTAGCTGAGGGGCTGAAGCGCTTGAGATGGAACACGATCACAGATGGTAGCACTCTAAAAATTGTGAGTGAAGTCTCCAACGAGACTGCCTCCTCCCATTAAAGAGTTACACACGCTCAACAGAATAAAAATAGCGCCGAATTTGCAGCGCAAATTTTGCTAAGGAGGGGGGGGGGGGGAGGAGGGGAAAACACGAGAAAATATTCCAGTAGAAGTTTCTGCAAATGCCTCCTGATTTTACTAATCGCTCAAGTTAGCGTACGAGGACGTTTGAATGGCTTATTTAAGTTTTCTTTAACAAAAATTTCATATCGTGTCATTTCTGGCACAAAAACTGATCGCTCGGGCTTTGCGATACATGCAGCAGTTATGGAGTACTCCAGAAGCTTTGCAATATCATGCAAGACCTCGACGCTGACCGGGTAAATCCACTGGAAAATGGAAACGAGCATTTCTCAGATATTACTTTGTTCTTACAAGGGAACGATACTTGGTGTCCGTGGCTTTTTGAGATGAAATGCATACCATTACACTCGTCTTGGAGCGCCGATTCCGAATCTGACTTCCGTTTTTGCTATTTGTTTCTCGGAAAAAAGTTATGGAGGATTTCCGCGAAAAAAGGAGATGTAGTCGAAATGTCAAAACCGCCGCTGAAATGTGGTGTAGTGGCTAGTGCGATAGCCTCGCAAGTTAATGCAGGTTAACTCTCGAGTCCTTTTGTGTTTTTAAGTTTTGCATTGCCTCAATCAAGCTTCTTTTGAAAGGCTTCTTTTGAAAACTTCTCAGGCATCCGCGACCGTATTTCTTCTAGGCGACCATTGATGTAAAAATTCTTCATAACTTTTTCCCGAGAAACGATTAGCAGAAACGGAAGTCAGATTCGGAGTCAGCGTCCCAAGACGAATGTGATGGTATACACTTCATCTCAAAAGGCCACGGACACCAAGTATCGTTTCCTTGTTAGCAGGACGGATAGACACAACAAAGGCTTTGCGCGCTCTAACGCTGAAAGGAAATTCGCGAACATGGCGAGAGCGAACGGAGCAAGCTCGCTTCTTATTGTTCGAGTAACTTTCTTAACTTAATGTTAGAACCCAGCAGGGTTTTCGGACTTGGTCTGGCGCTTGAAGAAAAGCCAATTATTTGTCTATAGAGCAGCAGAATTTTAGTTGGCCGAGTCACTCTCTTCTTAAACTATCTCATTCCGAAGATCAAGCATAAGTAGCTCAAGTCTTCGCGGTCGCCCCGCTCAGACCTTGCGTTAGGTTCGTGCACGCACCCTCGCCATTTTCCCTCGCCTAAGCAGCGTATGAGGGCTGATGTGTGGAAAAATGCCGTAAGGATGCGTTCGCGGCCGATGACCAGAACTGAACCTTGTAACACTAGCGCTGAGACAGCCTATCCATGCGCTAATAATCTTTGAATGAGTGTTTGTTTGAAATTAGCTCTATGAGGGAACTAACTTGAAACTCATTCGTCGGGTTGCTCGCAGACATCCGCATCGCTCACAATTACGATCAAGATCTTCTTTTGCGCAAAACCTAGAACAACATGATGCTTCTACTCCCCTCGAGACTTCAAATGGGTGAGTTTTACGAACATTTCCAAACATGTTTTGATGCTAACTTGATCGTTCGTCGAACCGGGTGGCACTATCAGAGATACATCCAAAAAGGGCTGTGTAGAAGATGACACGGATCTAAGAAAACAGATATCTGCTAAAAAGGATTGGTAGAAAATTGAACTTACGCGCATTTATTACAGATGATGTCCGAACGAAGCTTGCCGGTGAATGTTTGATGAACAATGCATTTACACCCATCAGTTTCTGTGACTGGCGATGACGCAAAGGACGCTAAAGCTGTAAAATGTTCAGTTATGTGAAAACTGCCAAGCCCATAGAATCACCACTGTAATGTCGATGCAAGAGATCATGCACTGCAAGAAAGAATTCGTGAGCATCCTGTTGACCTCCCATGTTCATTTGGGATTGTTCCCATACAATGTGTAACACATCCGACGGTGCAACAGGATCAGCCGAATCACCGCGATGGAAATCCTGAATATTTGGTAAGTGGAGAAGAGAGAGAGGAATAGAAAAAAAAGATATGACATACTTGCATTAGTTGATGCATCGTACACATAAGGCACGTGCCCGCAGGTCGCTGACAGTTATGCTGATCCGATAGAAAGTAATCCCTAAGCACTGGTGTATGGACAAGAGCTTGCAATACGCTATTCATATAACAAGTCGATCCCATATTTAATAATCCACGGAGTTCTAAAGTTGTGCTCGTTTAAAGAAAAACAATGAAACTTCACAAAACTCACGAGCAGGCTGACCAATGCGCGTCATCATATCCCAAGCTTTTATGTCAGCATCAGTTGGGTTCCAAGATACCAATTTACACAATCCCAACCGCGTTCTACAAAGCAGGTTGAGCTGACAAATTCTTGGCAACAAACTGATTTACAAACTCTTTTCGAGACTACAACGTCATTCTCCCGTTTAATTCTGATCAGATATGATTTTTGAATTCGCAGCTGTAAGTTTTCTCATTATAAATGCAAAACCAATAAAATCAAGCTTTCGAAATAGCAAAATCCTTTGCGATTTGAGTTTTCAACATAAAGGCGATGCCCAGCAAATCTGAGAATCACGTTCGTACGTTACTGCTTAGAATGCTCATTTGATCCATGGCTAAAAACAGCTCAAATTATTCATTTTTGGCCGAGTAATTTAATTTTCAGCTCTTGCTCAGCACCCAAAGAATGAAAACTGATTAGTCCGCTAAAAAAACAGTACTGAGCAAATTTAGAATCGAATTTTCCAGGATTGAGTCATATAACTCTTAATTAGGTCAACACTCAATTCAGAAGCTGGAAAATTTGGTCATTGTCTTCAAGTTTTCCGGAAATAACATGGGATAATAAATTAACAGCAAATTTACCTATACTTATTCATTGCTCCCAGGCGCATTACCTCCAACACACGATTATATACAAAATCCGAGCAACAAGCGCAGTAGACGTATCCCGTCTCAATCGACATCGCTGAAAAACGATGTTATGTTACAAAAATCATATAGATTTTATCTCCGCACCAAAATCATGCCGATGCTCCCTCAAGTGCTTTTTCATGTGTGTCAAGCAGAGAAATGAGCTGCAGCGCGAACAACACATTTGCAATGCTAAACGGGACATTCTTTTTTCTGGAGGGCACTCGGAACAGTGGGTCGCTCCCATTGTAGCCTAAAATAATTACTCTTCCAGAAACCTGTTGAAAAAGGAAAAATTCTGCGTAGTTGACATCCTATTTAAGTAAACAAAAAACAATAAAAAGGCTATGTTTCTTTTTTCTGAACTCTACTTCAAAGCAACATATATGGGGTATAACTATCCATGCCACAATTGCTTTCCCAGATATAAAAAACAGCATTTGCGGTATTCTTGTAAATGTCGCAAAGCCTCTTGATGCGACGAGACTGCAGCGTTCTGATCATCCACAACTGATCATGCTCGATCAGATATAGTGCTGATGCTTTGTTCGATGATAATGCATATGATAACTAAAGGTTAAAAGGATAAAGGATTCGGCGTCTTCAATACCCTCTGCGGGTGTGCGCCGAACGCCACTACTTCATAGTCGAAGAGGCAATTGTATGCGTGCGATCCTATTACAGTGACTTTCGGGGGCCACCCGAGTACCAAGTCAGTGTTTTTATCCCCCCATATTACTCTGGCACCAATTTAACCGCACCGGAGGGTAATGGACTAGGTTGGCCCAGGGGCGCGGATCGAACCTGCGTCCGATATGGCCATAGCGGCGCCTCATGCCACTACGCCACTCGTCCCCTGCATATGATAACTATACGTCAAAAATTTCAAAATTCAAATTAACACTCCAGAAAATTTTTCTGGGGATGGCTGCCGCTGAACGCTACTGCTGCACATTTGTCTACCAATTTTTGTAGATTTACCAATAACTGGTATTTTAGTGGACACATTTTTGTGTGTTTCGAGTAGCACTCGTTTACATGGTATGTCTTTGAATAAATAAATAAACAAATGATTTTGCAAGTAAGCGTTTTTCTGTAGTGATCAGGATAAGTGGTAGTTCGCTAAAAGTGATAGTTTGCGAACAAATTTTTCGAGATTCAATTGGCGTCATGCCTTCACCAGAGATAACTCAAGGTTTGCTGCCAAGGAACTCTGGGAGGTTCCCAAAATTCGCAGCACGGGCACCCTACGAACGCCGAGTTTCTTCAAAACAAAAAATTCTATCGTGCTTTTAGTCCAAAAAACAAATCCACTTCCACAACTACTCTTCAATTAGTTGCCTCATGATTACGGCTCGCAGTTGCATAAGAGAGAATGTGTCGCACGTAAATAGACACCCCAAATTTGCAGACTCTTCACATTTTTTTTGCTACAAAGAATTTTCCGACCCACCGCTGTTACAGCATAGCTATCCGTTCTCGGAAATGCGCATTTGTCGGCGATTACCGCGTACCAGCTGCGCAACCGTTTTTTCTCGGATGCCGCACTTGGCATATGGGAGCATGATGATGACATTCCAATACATGCGACCTGAAATAATTACCTCAGGGTAAACGTGAAAGTTACTTTGTGATGCTTTCTACGTTTGGTCTCTTCCACTTGCTGGAGCATTCGAAGGACAGAAGGGGGGGGGACTTATGTTTTGAATTTATTTCAAAATGATAAGACCGAGCAACCCATGGGACGATCATAGCAATCTATAACAGATTTGAATTGCCTAGAACACCATAAATTACTAAAAATGCGCCAGCTAGTATCCAACTGGCAATAAAAATCGCGCCTCTTGACATACACCCGCTCCCCCGTGGGAATGTTAATGCCAGCGGCCCTTGGTTAGGCGCTCCGCTCTCATTCGGAGCTAATTTATTCTTATCCATCATGACCTATCATGTTTGTATCATTCGATTTCTGATCAAGAGATACGAGCATGCTGTGCGTACGTCTGGTTAACAAGTTTATGTGTCTGTTTTGACGCGTTTTGAAGGATTTCGTTGAACAATAAGTTCGAGCATGTTCTTTTATGAATTCTATATTAACTATCAAACCGTGTTAATACGCACTTATAAACTTCTTAATCAGATGTATGCAAAGCGTGCTCGTGTCTCTAAGTCAGAGAATGAATAAAACCTCGTTCCTTGCTTGCAAGCCTACAGCAACACCACTAAACAGATTTCAAAGATATGATTACCCACAATTGCAAAGGAAAAGGAAAATAGAGAAATAGGAACAACAAAATTGTACTTTTGAGATCCTTGCCTTTGCAAAGCGCACATTATATATCATTGTTTGATATCACATAAGAACAAAATAAACTTTTAAGCTTCCCTTCTCAGTAAGCAAGCGGTCTTTTCTCAGTGGTAACCTGCCCTGTCTGGAAGGTGTTAAAAATCTACTATTGATAGAAGCCAAATAACGAATCAAGCATTCGCACTGGATTCTTGAGACTCATCTCTAGCAGAGTGACAGATAGAACGAAGAAGGGATTTTTTCAAAACCAATTCTAACTTGGATTTGTACCGAGTGAACCAGCTTACGACCTACGTCAATTGACAGACTTTATACGTTCTGAAGCGCTAAATTTCCATAAGAAACAAAGACTCACCTCAGTCAATGGCAATCATTTCAGCTTTGTATTGGCTATGGGCAGATACGAAAAAATCGATGAGCTCGTATCGTGGCTCCTCCCTTGCAGACTCTATACCGAAATTTGCAAAAAGGTCATGACAACATGCCAGAACTATAGGGAAAGGTAACCTATCGAGGGATAGCCATCTTCTGCTGAACGACAAAGTAGAAAAAATCGCTTTATTATATGACAAACAACGTTATCTGAGATGTAATGAACTCAACAAGGCAAGTCAATAAATACCACTGTGTTTTTAGCATTGAAATGAACATTGAACGAAAAGCATGCTTCAAAGACGACAACCCATTTCAGAGCCAAAAAATGGGAGAGCAATTATTACAACAAAAAACCACAAGAAAATCACAGATGGAAAGGATTAGGGATGAGGAAACTGTTGCAAAAGATATCAATCCGACACAATTGCCACTAGATAATGTATACCCGCGACCGTTGAACAACGAAGAAAGATCTAAGTTAGAACTCAATCTGAGGAGCAGGTTAAAAAGCTCCTCCCTAAAATCTCAGGAAAACCAGCTATGGGAAACCGAACTGAGACCTTGAGGTGATTAATAGCCCTGCAGACCATTATATACTTTTGGTTTGACGCTATCTTGCTTCAACAATTCTGACACTACTTTCTTCTGCTCTTCACTAAGCTCTGTGCGTGGAAACTCGACATCAAATGTGACGTAGAGCATGCCTCGGATATTGTTATTTGTCACTGAAGGCATACCCTCATCTTTCTTCCGCAACCGTGCGCCGGGCCACGTAACCTAGAACGACTTATGTGGAAGGACGAACAGACTCGATAAATTGAAAACACTTCAGGGACCGATAGCATCAACTTACTTTTTCTCGCTCAATGCTGACTTTGTGGCCATCAAGATGTAGAATTTCCATTTTGAACCCGTTCAAAGCATCTTGTAAGGATATGGTTACATTTGTATATAAGTCGTCACCCTTTCGCTCAAATCTGAAACAAAAGAAATGAGTATAAAGCATGACGAATTAAGGATTGCGAGTAATTTTCATTAGAATGAATCCTGCTCCCCAATCGAAACGACAATGACTGAAACGGAGCAAGCATGTCCCAATGCATTTAAGCAAAATGAATATTCATAGAAAGTGCAACACCGTTCATGCACTTATCGCGGGCTTCTGCACCAAGCTAAGCAAAATGAACACTATCAAACACAGTAGTAAAATACAATGTAGCTCGACTCGATCATCCTTCAATCGCTACAATAGCTAATTAGCTCGCAAGAGACTCGAAACTCATGTAGTCCCATGTGTAAATAAAATCCAAAACCTAGGAGTGGCGGACTAACCTGGGATGTTTCTGCACGTTGATTCGAACTTTCAAATCACCGGGATCTCCCTCAATATGGGGTTCACCTTCTCCAACGAACACTTGCTCGTGACCGTCGTTCGCTCCAACCTCGACCTCGATCTGAGATTCGAGATGTTATCGTACTTGCGGACTTTCTATTTATTTATTGTCAAGAGAATGAGAAGTGCTCACCTCAAGAGTCCTTGTTTCTTGGACTAGTTTAACATTTGGACACTCATCGCACACTTGAACCTGGACTTATTACATGGGCAATAAAGTTAACGATCAATGAAAGTCGATCAAGACCAAATAGAATGGGAGATAAGAACCTGATACATCTGGAAGCGACCCATTCCTATCTGCTCGGTTCGCATTTCATGCCTACAGTTGCATTTCCTTGTCCCAGATGTTTGTTTATAAACTGCTTTCTTTCGCTTAACTTCGACAAAATGACCGACGTAGACTTCTTCTAGTGTCACAAACAGATCGAAGACGACGTCTGCTCCCTAAAAGGTGTAGTGATACCATAACAAAGCCATAAAGTGTGGGCAAATAGCAGAAATTATGCGAAAATGCCTAAACAGTAGTGAAAATTGCCTGAAACGCACCCTAGGTCTCTCATATTCAGTGGATTCATGGCCACCACCAAAGAAGTCGCCAAAGAATGAAGCGAATGGATCGTGACCTCCTCCATCACCCATCATCTTCTTCACACCTTCTTCACCATGTCGATCATATGTAGCTCGTTTCTCCTTGTCAGACAATACCTGGAATGTAGAGATAAAGATCACATAACAAAAATGTAAATCAGTGTCATGTAGATCTCGTCAAAATTAAGAGATAACGCACAGAAAATCATCAAGAATTAACAACATTCAGGATTTCGAATCTCGCAAAATTCAAACAAACGATATGAAACACAGGTGGTAACGTTGTAGTTGCTATTTACCAAAGTTTGAGAAAAAACGCATGTATTTGCCATATGTAATGATAAACAAACATTGAGCCCGCGCTCCGAAGCGTTTCATGTCCTTTTTTGGGACTCTTCACACCGTAGCGACAGTAAAACTGAGACAAACCTCGTATGCTGCTCCAAGATCTTGGAACTTCTCATGCGCAAGCTCATCATCGGGGTGTTTATCCGGATGAAGTTCCTGAAGTGATGATGTAAAACAGATAAACACTTTTATGAAACTCGATAAAAAGAGTAAACTATGGGCGAACTGGGAACTTGATAAATCGACGAAGAACAAGGCTACAAATGTCTTAGCCCCTTACCTTTGCCAACTTTCGGTAGGCCTTTTTGATCTGGTTGACATTGGCATTTCGTGGCACTCCAAGGATTTTATAGAAATCGCGACCGCATTCAACCAGATCCAGCAGCGTTGAGACTACTAATACTGTGAAGCATGATAATAGGTTCATCCCTGAAACGATATTACATGAAAAGCTACAGAGTTTTTGCCAAAGAAATAAACGCTTATCATTTAGCATCTGTAAAATCAAAGGAAGACCTACTGACAGCTTGATGATGAGTTAAGACTCCGATTGTGATAAGGGAGATCGAGATGAGAAACAAAGAACATTCGGTCAGAGTCATAACACTTTACAACAGAATTCATACAGAAAACGGTGCGGAGATGTTGTTTTTTTACCAAACAGAGCGTAGACAAAAGCAAAATCAAATGCAGCTTGCGACTTGTCAATGGAACAAAGAAATTCCAAGATATTCAAATTTTTAAGCATGACGTCGGACACACGCAGGGGCGTGTCATCCGTGCGCTAGCACACGTCACAGCGGCTGCTATTGGCCGTTGGGCGTCGGGGGCTTCGCGATCAGATTTTGGAGTTGTAAAATCCTTTTTATCACGGCGATATTGATTTTGGGTCATATTCGCTGGTGAATTTCCAATTTTCAATATGCCCTAATTTTAGAGCTTAGAAACCTTTCACAGATTTGAATTTTAAGTGAAGGACGTTTTGGTAGAGCATTGAGGTGATTTTTGTCGCAGCTTTTGGGATGCTCTAGGGGATTTGAGTCTATTTGTGGAACTTTGCAACATCAAACCTTTCAGCGAACAATCATAAACACTTGCAACTGCTGCGCGAAAACGCAGAAGAAGCAGTGATTCTGCAAAATCGCGAGAATCTTCAAGACGCAATTACACCATGCTATGAACCAACACGTCAATCACCAAATCAAATTTGATTTGGTGCTTTGGCACGCGCCATACCAACTTCTCAGGCTAAGAGAGTCGGAACCGCTTTGCACGTCCTAAACATACTAGAATTTTTTTCACAAATAGATAATGCTAGATGGATTAGTTACAGGTACATACAAACTGAACTAGATTTACCGTATGCCCGCCGTAACCCCTTCCCCCTCCCATGGATATCGTACTTCTGCGCTCAGACTTTCATCACTCCCATCGACTGTCTTTCTTATGCATGCACCATATTTGATTCGCTTGATCCGCTTGGTCTATTTCATCCAATTCGCTAATGGTCAAATCGATGAACTGACCAACAGCGAAGTGGATGAATCGGATCAAGTGGACATCTGCTTTTCTGTTGATCAATTCGATTTGACCAATAGTGAAGTGGATAAAGTAGATCAAGCGGGTCAAGTGGATCAAGCATGGTGCGTACCTTACTCACAAATTCTTCTGGTAAAGCGTACGCAGGGAATCTAATGCAACGCGCAATCAACTTGCCCCCCCCCCTTCGCCACGCAGAAAATCGCTAGGAGCGTATTGTAAACCCAACCACTTTCAACCATTTGGGGTTTGAAGGAAATATGTGGCCCTTAGGGCATACGCCATAGTTGATCCACTTTATCCGCTTGATCCACTGATTTACTTCGCTGTCGAGTCGGTGGACTAACCATTGAAGCGAATGTCCACTAGGTCCACTATCCACTTCGGTATTGGTCAGTTCACTAATTCGATCATTGACGAAGTGGATCAAGTGGATAAAGTGAATCAACTATGGCATGTGCCTAAGCCTCCACCCACCAAGAAAGGTGGATCGTGCGGTTCTTACACAAGAGAAAGTACGAAATTGATACAGGTAGTACTTACCTTTTACAGATAGATTTCGCAGCTTTGATAATGCAAGAATGCTTGGCGCAGTGAGTAGGGATGGATCAACTTAACTGTGACCCAGTCTGTTCTCTATAACAGTTCAGCGCTTCATCTCGACTCTGACCTAAATCGAACTTGATCGCGATCTCAGTGGTGAACATGGAAGATTGCAATTTATCATTTTAGGGGCTTGAAGTCGTGTTTCGTCTCAGTTGGCTTCACTTTTATATAGTTGTAATAAGGCTGAAATGCTTCTGTGTGGCATTTGCGCCGCCCTTGTGGTGGCTGCGTTCGCCACTGATCGTTCTCCAGACATTGAAACCATTCCTTTAGGAGTTCCTTACAATCGTAAGTCTTTTTTCATAACTTTATCTTGCCAAAAAATTTATTGTTTATAGGAGCTGGACTTTATAAAAGAGCAGCAGAATTTGTTTGTTTTGATGGGTCGAAGAGCATCCCATACAATCAAGTAAACGATGATTATTGCGACTGTCCTGATGGAAGCGACGAACCAGGTTTACTAATTTGTTCGTTTATTAGGTTTAATGAAAGAAAAGCTTTCTTTTCATCAATGGCAGCAGGGAGCGTAAGATCATGTTGCCCACTGATGCGGAACTGTTGCGACTCGTTAAAGGCAGCCTCCAGGCAGATCTGGACCTATGGGGATTTTACGTGGAAAGTACTTTTGGGGCCCTAACTAAGGCACTGCCCAAGTGGCAGCGCAGGTAATGCTCTAAGGCCTAAGGCATACCTCGCGCGATTTTCTCAAATCGCTACATGCACGCGATTTGGCGGTTTGCCAAATGTTTACAAATCAACCGTGAGCGGATCTAAAATGCATAGGCGCGTAGCTCCAGTAACTTATAGCAAAAGCTTTAAGTCTGGCCCATGCAAAGCGCACTAACGACAGTTACGAAGAGTCACTGCAGTGCCAGATCGCGCAGCGACTGGGATCGCGTGAGGTATGCCTTAGGCCTAACGGCTGAGATATTCCCCTCGAAACTGGCCCCGCGATCGCGCATGGAACATGGCAGTTTCGCGCCATCCACGCTTTGCGCCATTGCCATGCTAAATACGATCGCGGGGTCCAATTTCGAGGGGAATATCTCAGCCGATAGAGCACTACCTGAGCTGCCGGTTGAGCAGTGGCTTAGTTAGGGCCACAAAATTACTCTCCACGTGAGATCCCTATGTGTCCTGACTTGCTTGGACGCTGCCTTTAAACTTCGAGAAAAGTTACCGAAGCTGCCGATTCAAACATAGATGAAGGGTAAAGCACTAGGGTGCTAGTTAGTGATATGTATTCAAGAATATATGTCTGTCTAAAAAACCAGGGGATTTAGCCGTACGCAGTTTCGCTTGCGCCACTTAACCGAGCAGTCGCGATTCGACCGGATCCATAACTGGGCCGGATCTAAGTGCCACTATTATAAACACCTGTTTTCTTAGGAGAGTATAACGGAGCGTTTTGGCACTATCAGTAATATTTTCCGATAGACTAAATTGCCTGATGTATTTCACAACGTTGCAATAATCCTGGCGTTTATGGTCCGTGCCAATCACGTGCTTCCTTCTTTGTAAATGCATTGAGCTTGCCACGTTCGCGCACGTACTACTCGGATTCAAGTGGGTCAGGTCCGGGTCCCTCGACGCGGATGCGTAGTACCATGCGAAAGGGAGTACATAATTGACATTACCTGTTTACAATCTGTGTCAACCACGCGCTCTCCTTTTCGTAGCAGCTGCGCATCCGCAACGCGTGGGCATTGCGCAGCGGTCGTTGCGGCAACTTTAAACGCTCAATCTGGCGTTGCGCTTGAATTTGTCGGTAAGGGGGCACATCGTTGACGCAGGCCGTATGTAATTAACACACTTCATTCCGCGTTAATGGTACCGCTCCGAACGTTTAGGAACATCGGCGTGTCCGAACGGCAGGTTCCATTGCCCCAACAAGGGCCACATAGCTATGGACATCCCTTCATCTCGAGTGGATGACTCGATATGCGGTAAGAGCGTTTTGTTCCTACTCTTCTTCAGATTCATGACATACTGTTTAGATTGCTGTGACGGAAGCGATGAGTATGCTGGAGCGGTGAAATGTCCAAATATTTGTGATGAATTGGGACGAAGCGCTCGCGAAGAGAAGAAGAGGCAAGCTGAAATTGCAAGGAAAGGTTATGCGACAAGAAAACTGCTAGCAGTCGAAGGAAAGAAACTGAGGGTCTGTCACTTTTTCTTCCTCTTCCTTCTAAGTTCGAAGTAGTGATTATAGGATGAAAAGGTTGCTCAGTGTGTTCCACTCAAAGAGGAGCGCGAGAAACTTCTACCAACCAGGGATGAGTTGCTAAAAAAGAAGGATGAAGCTATGGAAATTGAAAGCAAATTGAAGGACAAACATAGAGAAGAATGGGATGGTGGGTGCTTTATACTTGTTGATAACTTTCCGGTATTGAACAAAAAAAACTGGTGATTGCTGTGAAAGAATTATTCTCCAAGATGCATTGTGCGGCTTCATTACAGCTCAAAAACGCGAGAAAAAGAAGGAAAAGGCCACTGCAATGTTCAGTGAGATCGATGTTAACAAGGATGGCAAGTGAGTTTTCGCTCCTTCTCCTCCTCTCTGAGTTCTTAGATTTATACTTGTCAAGTTGGTTGAAGATCGCCATGATAGATGCAAGTAGTTTATCTATGGTTATCAGTGTTATTTGAATAGTGCTGCAATTGTAGCCACTCTGTATGCTCAGTTCTTGGAGGTACCGTTCACCCTAGGTAGAGGATGTTAAGCTTTCGGTAGCATAGTAGTAGGGTCCTCTATCAAGCCAATGCCTAAGTCGCAGCGCAAAATGTCGCTTCGGAAGCGAGAAAATCGCTCCGGAATATCGAAGATGCACGAGGACCCGACGGCACCGCCCTCTCTATCCATGCCCAACCACCCTGTGCGCCCATCCAATCACCGTTCCGTAAAGCCAGCTTGAAGGTTCTCTGGAACGGGGACTGTCGGTTTTTTCCGCGGATTTTCGGCCATATTCGAAATCGGGGACATGAGGAGGCCCCGAAACGACAAAAACCCGGAAGTCGAGAATCTGAGTGGACGGTGCCTTTAACATTCGATAACCCTTGTCGTCCACTAGTCATCACCCGAAAGACAAGTTTTCTCCTTAGGATAACCTTGGACGAATTGGTGAAAGTTACTTATTTGGATACTGATCACGATGGAACAGTTTCCGAAGATGAAGCCAAGGTGAGTTCATTCACATGAGGTTGTTCTTCTGCTGTTGTCTAAAATCAGTATGATCGGCTCCCAGATTCGTGTGGAGACGGATAACGGACTTCCCTGATTTTAAAGGCAGTGGATCGGCAAAACTTGACAACCCAGGATCTTAAAGGCAGCGGCTCGGCAGATTGATCTACCTCAGATTTTGACACAGATGGATAGGAGGCCCTCCAAGTGAACCAAAACAGCAACTCCGCGCCCAAAATGTGAACTCTGCAAGCCAGGGGGGCGGCCCAAGCACCGCTCCCCTTCCTCCTTTCGCTCCCCTAACACCTTGTTCGGACGAGTATACTCCGCTAGACGGCGCGGGACCCCCCAACCGCTTTCCCGCATTGTGCATGCTATACAAAACCAAAATTTCAGGCAGCAGGGTCTTCGTGCCAGGGCCTTCCGACTTTCCTAAAAATTCTCGTCCGAGCTGCCTTTTGGAAATTGAAAAAAACGCCCCGAAAAAGGCCTTTTCACCGCTTTTAAAGCTCAGATTCGGGATCTACGGGTCGAGAAGGCCCAAAACATGCAAAAAGATGGAAATGCAAAATCTGTCGAGCCGCTGCCTTTAATGCAGTAGGTTCCTTATCGTCCCAGTATGAAAACAGTGCAATCCCGGTTGCACAGCATGCCTTCCCTCTCGAGAAAATCACTCTCAAATTTACACGCGCAAAACCTTACACGCACCCGGACGAGTTGGCATCTTCCTTCTCACCATTGGAGGCTGCCCGCCGCAATGTTATAATCATTGGGTTCCGCAACGATTCAGCGTCATCAGCCTTGCTCCACTCGTCCAATTTTGAAGGGAAGGGGTTGAAAAACGCTCATTTTCGCCGTTTTCGAGCTCTCTAAAGTGGATTTTCGTGATCAGCGTATTGAATAACCACAAGTAAGCGAAAATTTGACTAGGTTGAGATTTACCGAGCCACTGCTTTAAGGATAAGCTTAACGAGGGCGTACGAAATACAATGCTATAATGTGGAGGCTTAACAAGTTTATCCTGAAAATCAGGGAAGTCCGAACCCGCCTCCACATGAATCTGGGAACCGATGATATCTAGCAGAGTACCGCATGTCGCGAATGTTTGAGATCGAATTTATCAATCTGAACACAAATTTTGGGTTATTCTGCACCTGAAGCGCATTCTTTTACTGACAAGGAAGAGTTCCAAAGTCAGCTCGGCCAACCTGGATGAGTCATATATCACGGTGGCGGGTTTGGAACACTGATTCCAAATCTGCTCTCCTTTTCTGCGGAACAAGTCTCCGAAAGAAGTTAATGAGCGTTTGAATGTCTCAATTTGTCATGTTTAAAGAGGCTAGAAATAAGCTAAAAGCTCTAAAATACCACATAGCGGACTTCCACTGGAAGTGAGCCGTCCTTGTAGTTGTATACTTGATATACAAAACTGAAAACCCACTTTTACGTGTTATTGTATAGCTTTCGCCAAGTTCATGCCACTCAAGACTTGACAAATTTGGACTTTCAAACGCTCATACATAACTTCGTTCGAAGAGTTGTTCCGCAAAAAAACGAAGGCAGATTTGGAATCAGCGTTTCAAGCACTCTACGCTCATATAAGACTCATCCGGGTTGGACGAGTTCGCTTGGGAACTCTTCCTTGTGAATTGTCGAACCATCAGTTTTGACTATCTGAGTAGGTATTCAAATGTCAAACTCCCGTATCTTCAGATCTTCTTGTCCGTTGACGAAGTGGATGCCGAGAATTTCTTGAACAACATGTACGATAGGCTCAAAACTGAAAAAGTTGCTTATGAGGATTATAAGAGGGACCTAGAAAGAGAAGAAGCTGAGAAAAAAGAAAGAGAGGAAGCTGAGAAGAAAGAACAAGAAGAAGCTGAGAAAGCAGAATTTGAGGAAGCTGAAAAAGCGACGCATGAGGAACTGGAGGAGACTGGTGATCATCCTCATCCCTTAGATGGTTCAGTAGCAGTTCTCGAATACGCCACTCAATGTTTTCATTTGTTTTGTTCAGATGAAGACAAGGCGGATACCGTGCCACACCCTGTGCCCATTACAACACAACCTCCACCTCCTCCATTACACGATGATGATGAATTTTCGATGCCACCGTATGATGAAGAAACGAAAAAGGCAATTAATGGTTGGTGAATGAATCGTATCAATTTTGAATTGTACACCGAAATTTAGAAGCCGACGAGGCTCGAAAGGCTTATGATGAGTATGACGTAAAGATAATTAATTTGGACAAAGACATCAGGTCAGTTTGAAAAATGCGCTACCTTTATTTGGACTTCCGTCGTTCTACCGTACTTTATCTAGGGAAGCTGAGTCATTCATAGAACAGGATTTCGGTCCTGACCACGCTTGGGCAACTCTGAAAGGAAAATGCTTCGATCTGACCGATAAACAATACACTTACACATATTGTCCATTTGATAGGACAATACAAAAGGATAAAAATGGTTATGGCGAAACGGGCCTAGGGTAAGTATCTCAATTACCTAATTTATATGAATGAACTCGTCGCTTTTGATTTTGGATGGAGATTATGTTATGCTTTTTTTCTGGTTTCGTCGTAGTGAGTAAGATTTTTATCTGTGCCTTCTTACAGAAACTGGAAGGATTGGACTGGTGATGCCAGCAACAAATACACTAAGCAAAGGTATGAGAATGGACAGCAATGCTGGAATGGTCCACAACGGTCAACTGATGTAAGTTTTTGTCTCTGTATATTAGCGCCATGCTTCTTTTTATATTATCGAGGTTATATCCAGGTGGAGATTCAATGTGGCGAAGAATCCGAGCTGATTGAAGCCACCGAACCTGCCAAATGTGAATACCGGTTTGTATTCCGCACCCCTGCCGCCTGTAATGATCCTGACCAAGAAGAGCCGATACACGCTGAGCTCTAATTTTTTTTTACTGTTTTTACAGTTCTCACCCACACTCCACTGGTATATTTATTGTAGTGAGGTTGATGTGATTTTCGCGCATATCCCGTTTTTGCAACTGGATACATGCAGTTGTTAAGCTCCTTTTTTTCTTTCAGTTTTGTTATGTTCCTAGTAATTATTCGGAAAATGAAATGGTTGTAAGTTTGCGCTTTATGAAAAAAGCCTAGATTTTGTAGGTAAGAGGACACCAATAATCATCACATACAAGCTTGAGATCAGACGCACCATTTCCGACTGTGTCACTTTACACCCTAAAACCCAAATACACTCCTCCTCCCATCCTCTATAACCTAAACGTGTTATTAAAGGCAGCGTCCGGGCAGGTACGAAAATGTAGATTACAGGGGTGCCCGTCCTGGTAAGGCTCTTGCTCAACTGGCAATGCACCAATTTGCTTCTGAAGCGAGAAATCTGCTTCAGAAGTGGCGACCGGGATGAGTCAGTTTGATAAGCCGGAGTGCGCATATTGCACACACAATCAAGACGTAGGGTCCCACGAAGACTCGGCGCCTTAACCTTGGCGGCAGGCGACAAAATTCAAATCAAGAGCTTCTAATTTTCGTGCCCTCCAAGCTGCATTTTGATCAGCAGGAGAAATAAGCCCAGTAAGCGAAAAAAATTCCATTTGGAATTTTGCCCGGACGCTGCCTTTAAGAGAACAACAGATCAAGAACACTGTATGCTGAAAGTTTCTATCTTAATCATATAGCAAAGTGGGATTGATAACTTGTTTCGTGAATCCAACACGGGCATTGTCAGAAATCGAAGTGGCCAAGCCAAACAACATGCATATCATTAGACGCAGCGTAAAGCGCTGACTTTGAACCTGTAATCTATGTCTGCTTAGTGCCTATGTGGGCGAAGTTATGAGCCGTAAAGGCCGTTATTTTGCTAAGAAATCATGCACAAAGCACAAACTTAGTAGTACAAAGCCACTCGGCTGTTTGGCTTAACGCTGGGCCAAAACGTGAGGTAGGCTATTTTATTTTCTTAAATCCTAAAGGTGAGCTGAAAGTGCAGCAGTGCCCGCAACTTCGCAATTTTTCAGTACGATTTTTTTCGCAGTAAAACTGCTCATAACTTTGCCCACCAAGGCGCTAAGCAGACATGGAGTACATATTCGAAATCAGCGTCGAATGCTGCATCGATTTTGGTATACATCAAGCTGTACTACTACGCTATATAACAGTTTATTTTATTAGGGGAGCAGCCGCTGACTATCAACAGTGAATATGCGGAACCTGACGATAGTGGTAATAATCGAACCAACCCAAGAACGGAGTATTCGGGCCCTTTAGGCCACCGTTCTGGGCGCGGATAATCTGATTGCTCACTTCTGGCAAACAGGTCATATAGCATGAAGGATTGCCTACATGAAAGTAGGCGCCGCCAAATAGACTATCAAGCACAGTGAAGGGGTGACCTGGCGACTCAAAGGCACCATCCACCCAGATTCGCGAATTCTAGGTTTTTGTCGTTTCAGGGCCTTGTCATGTCCTTGATTCCGAAAAGGGGGTTGAGAAACTGCGAAAATTCCTACAATCCCCATTCTGGAGAACCCGATTGGATGAACGCGCACAAATGGGCGGGCATTCATGGAGGTTCTCGTTTTCGCTATTCCGAAGCGATTTTCACGCTTCTAAAGCGCCACGAGTTGGGCATTGGCTTGATAGGAGGCCCTACTGTTACATGCTGATAAAAGCCCAGCACCCTTAGGATGGTCCCTGCCTTCAAGTGGTCAGTGAATAGTAGGGTTTGTCAACGACAAGCTAGTATAGATACCAAGCATAACATATAGGATGACTCTACGATAGTAAAGGTCGTAGATTACATAAGTAATGCGACATCGATGGTGCAGCTTGCTTTTATTGGCCACTTTGACTTCTGACCATTCCCTTGTAAGTCAAAGCAAGCTTTACAGAACACCTACACTGGTATCTGAAGCTCAGCTTAAAACAGCAAAGCAAGGAAGTTATTGACGATGAAACAGTGTGCTGATTGTCAATTTTTTAAGCACCCTGTATCTGACTTTTTTGAGAGAAAAGTTATCAGATTTCGGCACAGCCCAGCAACTGCTAGAAAAGGCTTGAAAGCTTTTTCGAATGGTATAACACATGCGCAAGAGAGTGACATAAGTTCGTGTAAACTTAGATGTCCAGGAAGTCTGTCCGTCTTGGAAGTACCATAGGAATCCCTAAGCAATGTTCTTCATTCAGTATATAAAAAATCGTAACGCCAATTCAAAAAGCATTAGGTAGCGGGAAACCGCTGCGGGTCTGCAAACGAACGCTCTTGCAGAGCACCTTTAGATTACTGGGTCACTGGTATAAGAATTTGAGAAAAAATATGGTGTAGAAAAAATTCTCGATGCCCGATTCTTGGCGGCCACCTAGTTTTTGAGATTGATTGGGTTAAGATGATAGAACAGGGCGAATTGAGGTCTCCTCTGGTCGTCAAACGATTGAGATGTGATAAAAGGCCATAGGTTGTCGGTGTTGTCGATGTTGTCAATGTTGTCGGTGTTGTCGGTGTTGTCGATGTTGTCGATGTTGTCGGTGTTCGGGGTTGCCGAGGTTGCCGGTCGTTGTAGGACCTCATGATAGCCTCCACGTTTCGCGCGCTCTCTAGACGAAATCTCAATTGCATTCTGAGGTGCTTGTGTCAACAAGATAATGTTTTCTCTTGTAATTTTCACAGAAAACTGAAAAATAGGGCATTTTAACAAATTTTCAAATATGTCGTGATGCAACTCTCGCTTTCAGTTCAAAGGAAGCGACGGAGCAAAAAAAGGTTTCTGAGCGCAGTTTTTCCGACAATGAGCGGGATAAAGTGCTAAACTTTTTAAGTTTTTCCCGATAAGGTTATATATTTATGTTTTGTAAAGTGAATCATCTTTTGGTGCTAGCCAAAATGGTTTGTGTGTCCCGTGCATCTCAACTTTCGCAGAAGGGCTAATGATACCATTGTCAATATAGATGTACTCTTTTCACACACATCTTGTGAATTTTTCAGATGTTCACGAAATAGCGCAAATATGTAGAACATTGTGGTGAAAGAGCAGGGGAGGGGTCGAGTTACGTTTTAATTTTCACAGCCATCTCCCTTGATTGGATCAAAGATTTTTCTAGAGTGTTTTTTTCGTTCTCTATGGAAAAACAGAGAAATCGAAAGTTCAATATTGAAGATTGAAAAAGATGTACGTAATATAATATGATATTTGATATTTGACATTTATTGCACACGAGTGCGCCATTTCACTCATAATGCATCAAGGACTATCAAGAACGCAAATAATCCAGTACAATAGAAGAAAAAACGTTAAAACAGAATAAGTAGGAAGAAGAACATCAAGACATCAATAAACATCACAATAATGACAAAAAACTGCGACCAAGCTTACACCACGACCTATTTAAGCCAAAGAAAAACTCCAGAGAATGTACTATCTATACTATTATAGTGGAATTGTTATCTGGTGCATATCATGAGTCCAATTTTGTTTGGAAAATACCATGATACCGTAGAGTGGGCACAAATCCTTGAGTTTTTGTTGAGCTAATTTTTCAAAAGTCAAAGCTAAGATAATACTCAGTTCGAAAAGAAGTTCATAAATTCATAACTACCTGTAGCTCAAATAATCTCATCTCATGATGATACCTTAAAAACAATCAAAAACCAACAACTGCAAAAACAATATCCCTCTATTAGGTCAAGCAGCAAATCGGCTTGCTTGATGTTCATCAAGATTGGGTCTTCGGTGCACTCTTGAGTTGTTTCAGCTTTGCTCTGATTGTCTTACTCGAACCGAAAGTCGCTCGTTGATGGAAGCTCGACGTGTCAATTTAGTTACGCTGCAATGTCTTCACTCAAAAATCAGTGTTTCGTAGCATACACTCCGAACGCTCTTCAGCTGAGGTACAAATGAGTGCTCTTGTAACTCTTAATCTTACGCATTTATGAGCTTTAGTGAAAGGCCATGAGTTTGGTTTGATTTCCGAAGATCTTATTTTTCTCGCGTACTGCTCATCAAATTCGAAATGTAAACCTCCTGCATTTTTAAAGTCGAGTAAATTTTCCGTTTAATATAGTGCGCTTGCAGAGTAGGTAAAATGCGGTAAAATTTGCGCGCGAACAAATAGCTGCTCTTGTGACGCCGCCCAATTGCGCCCGCAAAATACCGGCGTTACTGGCTAACTATTTGTTACGCGCAAATACCGCATACCACTTGCAGTGCCAGCACACTATATTGTGCGAACTACTCGACTGTAGGCACAGCGGGCCTAATTGAGTAAAAAAAAAGTGTTCTCTGCTGTTAGAGTGTTTCTTACGTTGGCATTTGGTGCCCACTAATAATTCTATCGGAAGCTTTTACTATAAATTTGGTATAGAGGCATATTTGATTTGTCTATATGTAAACTTATTTAAAGCTAGATTTCCATTGGGTACTTACAGGGCTAGAATGGAAAGACAAGAGAGCTAGCGATTAAACCGGCTATTCTTGGACACCATGAATATTATCCTCGCAAGAACAGTGATCAATATAGTAAATCCTAGAATTAATCACTTTCTATACTTTTCCCGCTTTCTTTTCATCTTCATCACTGCAAACCTGTCTTTTCGAACTAATATTTTACTTTTTTTATTTCAAGTTTTTTTTCTCTCATCGTGCCTCGATGATATGTATTTTGCAGCCGCGATGCTAAGTGTTTCTTCCTAAAAATTGGTGATTTGTCAAAATAATATATTTTTTTGGCGCAGTAACCCTTGTAAAAACATTCGTGGCACTTTTCCCTCTCCTGCACGCTAAACACTAGAATTACGAACTATGCGAACGTCAACGCATGGAAATTTCGTTTGTAATTGCTAAACCTGAAAACAAAAGTGCATTCAGTTAGTGGGAACAGAAATATACATATATTGGTTTGGGTCCCTATGCTGTTGGCTAGACAAACTGCTAAAAGGGCAATTTGGATGTAAATTGTTTTGCTCCGTAGTACGTTTGAGTTTCCAGACAATCCTATCATCTGCCTGAGGGGAAGGTAGGCTTCTCAAATTTTATGTATTGCTGAGAGAATTTTCGATCCATTTGTATTATATCTATCACGGTCCCAAAATTCAAGCCTGAATCGTTAAGATCGGTGTTG